GACAAGCGCAGTGTGCTCTGATTGGCCAGCTGACCCAGTGCATTGTGATTGGCCGAACACCGCAAGCACTCGTCGGAAATGTAATGCCCCTTACCATAATCGCGAGCTTCATCTTTCAAAATAAATGTAAAGACAGAGCCCGAAAGGGGAACAGAGTCTCGTGACGGACACAGTGATGAAGCTGGTATGTGTTTGCAGTACACAAGCCACGGTTAAGACAGCTGACTCTACTGTGATCTCTCTCATTCTCTGTCACACACACACGCATGCACGCACGCACGCACGCACACACACACACACACACGATGCGCAAAACTCCGCATTTGAACAGTCAATAGCAAATACTTAAACTAATAACAAAACAGTAGCTGATTCAGAAGCGCCAGATTGTCATAGCAAAGTCAGAATTACCTCCTCTCCTAGGTTCACGAAACGGTCGTCCATAAAATGCATTGCTGTTCTGTTGTAAGTAATCTTAAAGATTCCTAAATGCATCTACTTTCGGAAGGCCAAATAAAGTGCTTTTGCTTTCGCCTAGAAACACACAGCGTCTCCCTGACATGGCTGCTTCAACACTAACTGCGGTTACTGAAACCACGCCGCCTTTCTTTGCGTGCACATTTGGGCGCATTATGCAAATATTTCCACACAGTGAGGTAGATATGTGGGGGCGTGTTAGAACGAGCCATTTTAGGGGGGCGTGGCAGAGTCTTAACTTTGATAAAGAATATCTCTTTGGTTTTGAGGCTTTAGTCTTTGCAACTTCAGGGATCTTATCTATGCACAATCAGCTTGTAACACTCCAAAGAGAAAGGAAAACTTGAAATCGGATCATATGACCCCTTTAAGACATTTTTTTTACTGGAATAGAAAAAGTCTAGCTTGCAAATCTTACTTATTTAGTATGGAGGCCTGAACATGACATGCACAGAATAAAAAGAGATTATGGCCACGAATTAAGAATTTGTTCCCACAGCTTATTCATTAATTTGCTTGTTTTGGTTAAATTATGGCCACATTGTGCTAATTCATTCCCTTGTTTTAAGGTGTGGTCACATTAGCGCTATTTTAGCTACATTTTGTGGGCCAAAACAGGTGCACTGTCAATAATGTTGCGATGTATGAAGCTCTGCTCACACAGAAGTCACTTTCAAACCAAGCAGCTTTCTGTTGGTCAGCATGGTGACTCCGCCTGGCCTACTTAAACATGAATGAAATCTTTGTGGGCAACTTTTTCGCACTCACGCAAAACTGCTAAATGAGCAGATTCCAACTCCTGTACTTATGGTACCGCCACTGTATCTTTTTGGAAGGGTTCAGTTTTTCTCAGAAAATAATTCATATGATACATGCATGTTCACATATAAATGTTCTCCCTTTTAGCTGCAGAACATATCCAGAGAGTTGAGTGAGTTGAGAAGTAACCTGAGGGCAGCAGCAGCCTCAGTGGCCAATGAGTCTGCAGCTGAGCCGAGAGAACCCACCACTGAATCCTCCTTCAGCTCCTCTGAGGCTGCTGTGCAGGCCATTCTAGAGAGCCTGAAAACCAACGAGTTCTCCAGAGCCATCCGTTACATACAGGAATGCAGGTAAACTTCCCACCCAGAGAAATGACTGCAGCTTATTGTTTTATAATGGAATTTAAAGGGATAGTCCACACAAAAATTAAATCTCTGTTATTATCTACTCAAAAACTGTATTCACATATTTCTGTGGAACACAAAAGAAGATATTTTGAAGAATGTTATTAGCCAAACAGTTTTGGTTCCCATTGACTTCCATTGTATGGACAAAAAAGTCATACAGTTAAAGTCAATGGGAAACTAAACTGTTTGGTTCTTCCAAAATATCTTCTTTTGTGTTCTGTAGAAGAAAGAAATCCATAGAAGTTTGGAACGACATGAGGGTGAGTAAATAATGACAGAATTTGAATTTTTGGGTGAACTATTCCTTTACATTTATTCCTTCGATTTATTGATAATCTCTTCAGGAATAGAAAATGAATGAGTAATATGCAGTGCAGTAACAGTGGAGTAATATGCAGTGCTTTGTATTTTAATTATGTGAAATAATTATAATCACTTTGTTTCAGGAAAATGTGGCCAAGTGACATCTTCGGCAGCAGCTCCGAGAATGAGATTCAGACTCTACTCAACATCTATTTCCGGCACCAAACTCTGGGTCAGACAGGAACCTTTGCCCTGGTCGGTTCAAAACAAGACCTATCGGAGATATGCAACCGACTCACTGAGCTCAACTGCGAGATCCGAGACATGATTCGATGGGCACAGGGCTACCGGGCCATCACTGCCTTCCTTCCTGACTCCAGCGTGACCGGCATCAGCCTTTGAGTTGAACTTTAAGGGATCAGGCCGGCATTGGCCTTCTTTCCACCACTCCTGTCTGAAGTTGCTGCTGCCTTCACTGTTCCCCCCTAGTGCACTCATTACTGTCCTGCCTCTGCTTACCTTAAGAGCTTTAAGGATGTACAGCTAATATAGCTTGGAAAAATGCAACAGGGGACAGAAAAAGAAGTTGAATCCTTGGCTTCTTTGCGCTACTATGTATGTAAGGGGCCGCCCCTGCCTCTGAAATGGGGCCTCTATCACTGCAGACATCAAAGGTATACCAAAGCCTACCATTATACATGTAACGGGAAAATGTGCAATGCCTCACACCAAGTGAAACTTTTCATCTTAGAGAGAATGTTTTAAAATTTCAGTGCTCTCAGCTACTTGATGATACATAAATGTTCTATTCTTGCTTTTTTATTTCAAATAAAAACGGAAAGCCATTGTTAATGTGGCTTTTAAAAAAATGTTTAAAAAGATCCGACTTTTCACAGTGCGCACCCATGCCTCAGCTTTTATCTGTACAGACAGAATGTCTCTAACACAATGCAATGCTACAGTCAGAGAGACCTGGATGCATAAAGGGGTCATCCAGCACTTATTTATGAATGGGGGTGTTTGGTTTTACTAATGTCTTTCTACTGTTTAGTTGCTCCTAGAAGGTTGATTTATATTCTTAAAAGGAAGATCATGTTTTGATCATCGTAAAATAGTATAGTTTTTTTTAGGATGGAATTATGTCTATTCTGTCTATTGAAATGGCCAAGCATTCAAAGGTATGTACAATAAGACTAAATAGATATATTTATGGAATAAGAAATTATTTTAAATGAAAGATTTGTACATAGTAGTGGGAGTGTAGCCCAGACTTGTAAGATTTTATTTTTATGGTTTTATTTTGCTGTCTGCTGTATAAAAAGTGTGCATGCAATAAATAGATCAATAAATAATATTAATGAAAAAGTCTGCTTAGTCAGTGGGTTTTTTATATGGATACTTATGTCTATGTGCTTAAGTAGATTTAGATCTGTAATGAGAATGATTTTAGGATGCACGTTTGTTTGTTGATATTTTTTATTGTAGAACTAAATTATACAATTTAAATGACTTTTTTCCTAAAGGTAATCTTAAATGAGAGGATCAAAACTGAAATCAAGCAATGCATCATGTAGTATTTTTATGGTAGTGCGCCCTCTGGTGCACCACAACGGAAATAATAAAGACACTCAAAGGCAAAAATTGTATTTGTCAGTTGTGCAAACAGAAGTGCTTGTTAACAGTGAAATCAAATTTTTTAAAACATGTTTCTGTTTTTTTAACAGACAAAATTCTCATTTTAGTTTAGATATTATGTGTCATAACTGTTATCTAACATAAAAGTGTCTAAAACAAATGTGTGCAAATGACATATTTTTTTTAGATATTAATTCATTATTTATGGAACAAGCATAAAGTATAAAGAAGTAAATAAAATAACAGGTGATAAAATGCTTCAAATGAGGAAGAAAAACTTTATCTACTCAATGTGAATAGAGACTATACTATATAAACTACCAGTAATTTGTAAATAAAAAATATAAACTACTGAACAAACTGTCCAAAACTATGCACACTCCATCATGTATTATAACATAAAATGAAAAGTTTAATTTAAATTCTTTTTTATTATTAAAGTAATTCAAAAAGTTAAAAGAAGTTTTAGCATAGAATAGATTAGAGTAGAATATAGATCTCTCTCTCTCTCTCTCTCTCTCTCTCTCTTAATAAATCTCTAATCAACTATTTCCAGTTTCGATTCAGTGCTGCAAGTCCGCCCCCTGAACAGACGCTCGCATTTTGATTGGTCGAGACAACAGCTCTTCTGTTGACGACACGGCGCTTATTGGCGGGATGTGTTAAACCAGCTTTATCCACCACGCGCAGAATAAACAGATCCTCTCAGAACGCTTCAGGGAATAAAACATCTTGAATCGGAGATGAAGACGACATTTCATTTAACTTCGAAAACTCAGACGTTACAAAAAGCTTTCATCTGTGCCAACACGTTCATTTACGGTGACTTCCAGACCTGTTTTCCTGTTTGTAGCTAGTTCAGATAACGTTAGCTGAGTAAACGGTGATATGCGTGACATGGAACAGTTACTTTTAATTAGTTACTTAAATCTCGCTGACAAACTGTTACTCGTTAACTACGTAATATGAACCAGATACATTGATGTCAGAGATAGAAGATACACTGGTTTACATGTTTATGTTTTTGTTTGTTTATCTGTACGCTAGGTCCAATGAAAACATTATTGTGCTTGGTTCGGATTTAACCCCATCACACTCATGGCAGCATGTTTGACAATTTCTTTCATCAAATTGACAAAGGTAGACACTTATAATAATATATATATATATATATTTATAGCGCTACCATATTTCAAATCTTTGAAACTAATCTGAATTTTGTGAATTAAGAGCTTGGACCTCTTAATCCTGACTGGTTTGAGGAGTTGACTGCAAAAGCTTCCAGAGATGAAGGACGTCCTAACAGTTCAAAAGGTGAGGAGGAGGAGAAGACTGTCAAAGTACCAGAGACATCAGCCCTGGCCAGTCAGCTGTTTTCTACACCCAAAATATTCAAGCAACCACACTTTCAGTCCCCTGCTTCCATTCCTAATGAAGAGTCTCCTTATGAAGGTATCGTAGTTGTTGTGTTATGTATGAAGTATGTATAAATAAAGGACATAATCCTTTATAATTGTTTTGTTTCCACCCAGCGGTTAATGGAGACTCATCAGCATTTCCCTGGACAGAATCAAGCCCTTGTTTGTTTGGTTCAGCCAAAGACAGGTAATTCTGTTCATGAGTATGAGAATATAAATTTCATATAATATGAAAGTCAAGCAGAAAGTGAATGAAACTTTCTTTCCTATTCTTTGTAGTCAAAGGTTTGATGGATCCTGTGAAAAACCTGGAGATAGCTTTGGTGAGCAGGTTTTAGATTAGATTAGATTTTTTTAAAAAAAATAAAGAAATAACAAGATTGTTTTGTGTTCTAATATTAAATACTGTACTTTATTTTTTTAACAACTTCCATATGTGACACCACAGGCCTTCTGGATACACCAAAAAGGTCTTTGGTAAGTCAACACAAGTTCACAAAACTGGTTGTGTCATATTTATAATCTTAATTCATGTCGTTGGTCATGTTTTTTGCATGACTCATTAATGGCATATATGTTTGTCCAAACAAAAAATTGTGTTTCAGCAATATGTTAAAACATTTTAATTTTGGCTAATATCACTCTTATTAAAGTACTAAAGCCCTTTTATTTTTGAACCCTCCTCTTCACCTATCATGTTTCAGAATCATGTCATGTTACAAAAGTAAAATTGGTTGCAAACACTGTTTCACATTAAGTTCAGATGGCATTCTAGACTTTAATTATAATGCTGAGTTTGTTCTGTTTCAGGCATGCTCGGCAAAACAGATATCGGAGAGCCTTGGGGCACAAATCAACCCTGACTTATCCTGGACCAGCTCCTTTAACACACCATCCTCTTTGACTCCCACTGTGATATTGCGTAAGTGTGAAATTAATTGCCTATGTATGAAAATTAAAGTCTTGTCTCTTTAGATGAATTTAGTAGAGGAGAGTGTAAAATAATATGCGATGGGGGGAAAAAAACAATGAAAAAGTCAGTAAAAGAATAATTTTATTAATCCATTGTATCTTGAATCCATAGAATTGAATGTGTTGCAATCACACTGGTCTCCTGATCAGATATGAGCTATTCAGCAAGAGTTATTTTTATTTCTCTTTAGCCAAAACAGAGGAACGCGCTCTATCAGTAAGTGGCCTCAAAGACAAGGAAGCAATTGTAAGTGCAAATCTAAGTTTCTGTATATATAATGTAAAGAATTTTGGATTATGGTGCATGAAATGCTGAGAGCCTGTTTTTACCAACATGTAATTAATGGTGATGGCTTGTTCTCACTCTTATACACACACTAGTTTGTGCGGAAACTCTTCCCATCTCTCTCGAAAGGCTCTGCAAGCAATGCAACATTGAATGATACAACACTAAAACAAGAGGGTGAGTGTGACACTGTATATTTGAAACTATACAGAAAATAAATAAAATGGTTAATTTGAAATGCATACACATATTATTAACTTCAAGAATAATTCTGATTATTCTGTTATCTTCTCTTCAGTGATTGCCGAAAGTGAGACTCTTCAGTCTGATGACCTGGGAGAAAAGCCTGTTTGCTCTCTAAATTCATCTCTTGATACAAGTGGTCTGTGGAAGCAGAAGGTTCCCAGCGCTATAGAGGATGGGGACGTCCGCAACACAGTGCAGAATGTTCTTGATGGTGCCGAGGACGTGTTGTCAATATTCTTTAGCAACAGCACTTCAACTCTGCGAAGAATCAAAACCAAAGAGAGGATCAGAAGGAGAATAACAGATTCCTCAAAAGATGTCAAATCAGTTGTTCTAACTTCAGAGTCAGAAGAGATATTAAAGGATGATGTAGAAACAAAAAGCCCCTGCAAAAACAAAGATATCACTCAATGGACCCCCCTAAGTTTATCAGAATCCACTCTTAATGGAGACTGTTCAACCGCGTCTTTGATAAACAATCACAACACTGTAGCATCCAGTGAAATTAATGGTTGTACTGTTTTCAACTGCATTGCAGAAAGTAGCCAAACTTTTTCACAGACTGTAAGACTCAAGTCTTATCCAGAAGGAGCTCAGTGTCAGAAGTCTTTGTTAGACAAATCGCCTGCTTTCATGCTTTCTAGAAAGTCCAGAAAGTTTGTGTATCAAGTGCCAAGTTCAGATCTGTCAAAGACAGTAATTGGACACAAAGAAACTCAACCAGTATGTTTCGACCAAACACTCAAAGGTAAGGTGTTCAATGTATTACATTTTTCTTAAATATATTGTGTGCGTTTTCTGAACAACATTTTTGCTCTGCATTTTACAGAAAATCCCTCAGTGGAAGAGGTGTCTAGTGACCTTAATGAATCCACAGTCGCCAGTGAAAATGCAATCAATAATCATACACAGCCACAAGACTTCAAACAGTTATCTACAGAAATCCATGATCTTGATCTAGGACTGGATATGACGCAGCTTTCCAAGGCATTTGCAGAGGATTTCACACAAGAAATAATGCCAGGAGCACTGCTTGACCTGGCTGTACAGAATGATCAAAATGGCCAAATGCAACATAAAGCAGAACTTGAGGAGAAGAACGAAGATGGTAGTCACAGTGACTTCTGTAATTTAGCAGACATATCTATGAACTCTCCAAACAAGTCAACAGTCATGCTTACAACTTTTGAAATCAGCCACGACAGTGGTTGCCCCACCACCTTTTCAGATTTGGATGGTACAACAACCTCGTGTGCAGACATCAAAGAGTTTTTACCTTCTTTTAAAATGGCAAACAACAAGGCCATTTCCATACCAAATAAGGCTATAATGAAGGCCAAAGCATCATTAGATGAAGCTGCAGGGGATGTTTTGATCAACACCTTAAATAGAACTACTCCAAAACATGATCAAACGATAGAAACATTGTGCAAATCAGTTTCGGGAAGCACTAATGCAAACCGATCGCCCATAGAACAATCCATCTTCCCTAACCATGCGTCAAGACTGTGTGTTAGTGATGCTCCAAGGAGTGACAGTCCAAAGAGCTTTAAAATTAATATTTCAAGCTGTTCTTCACCTCAGTCAAATGAATCCGATTATAAAACCGGTTCAAAGAGGAATATTGCAGTTTCAAATGTTGGCTTTCAAACAGAGACTCTTTTGAAAGAGGAATTGGGGAGTGGTTCAGACTCGTCAAAGTGCATTCATCAAAAATTGGATTTCAAAAGAAGTGCTGAAAGGCAGACTATGTTCAACATTAACAGCACACACAAACCCACTGCAGTGGACTCCAGCCGTGAAGATGATGAGGACAATGGCACTTTGACAGCATCTCAAAAGGCTGATGTTACAGAATTGTGCAATCTTTTGGAGGAAGCAAATAGTCAACATGAATTTACCCAGTTCAAACCAACAAATCATGGCTCAGACAACCACACTACAGAGAAAGAGTGGGATCCCGATATACTCTACGGCATCGACTTTGATGATAGTTTTAACTGTGATGTTGTGAAAGGAAAGCATCCCGTCAAGACGGACTCTTCTTCAGTAAACACTTCTGATCATATTCAAATTGTAGATGCTGCCAAATTACCATGCACCATGTCAAAGGAAACACGAAATGGCATTGTACCTTTGTCAGTGGCTGAAGACAGTTCTTTAGTTGATGGAATTAAGAGTATACGGTCTCATTTCAGTGATAATACTCCAGTCCATTTTTTCGGTTTTAAAACTGCTAAAGGGGAAGCTATGAGTATATCAGAAAAGAGTTTAAACAATGCAAGGCACTTTTTTGAAGAGTATGATCAAAAAGCCATATATAATAAAGAAGTCAAGGTGGACATCGGAGTAATAAAGCCAGAGCATGTTGAAACAGAGCCTACATTCAGTACTTTTGACAGTATGAGCACAGAAAATAAAACCTACCTTCAGATTAAACAAGTAAATTTCAGCTCTGGAAATGTAAATGCAGCGTGTAAAGAGATACATAAGCAAGTGACAGAAAATGAAAGAAAAGAGCAGAATTGTTTGGGTGAAAAAACTAAAGCAATTTCTTGGAGTAATACCTCTATAAAAATAAGTCAGCCGCACTTAGTAACCAAAATATCTGATGGCGTGGATAAGCTTTCCTTCAACAGCGAGAAGGTCTTTCAAGAACAGAAATCTAGCAGTGATCCTAAAGAAGTTTTCGCAAAGATTTTTCCCTCAGAAACTTTTTCGCCTCAGTCAGAGGAAGGCTATGGCTTTCAGACCGCCAGCGGGAAAGGAGTTTCAGTTTCAGCCAGTGCCCTTAAGAAGGCAAAGGCCATATTTAAAGACTGTGATGAAAATATTGACTTGGAATCTGCGAAAATGGAGGGAATCAATGACAAACTGGATGTTGAAATCAACCGAGTAAATGCATTTACTCCAAACTGTAAACGTGTGACATTTTCAAATGTGTCACACATGGAGGCCAGCACTGTTCTCAGAGACTCTGAACTGACTGATGACTTCTTATTGCTGCCCTCTTCAGTCCAGCAACCCCCTCAGGAAGAAGTATGTGAGGAGAAAGGCCTTCAAAGTGACTTTTCTAAGCATCCTTATGAGTTGCTTCCTCCTAATGGCAACTGTGGTTTCAGTACTGCCAGTGGTAAGAAGGTGTCCATCACAGCTGGAGCACTACAAAGTGGTAAGGATCTGTTATCTGAGTCTGTTGATGTTTTCTCATGTGCTGATGGATCTCCAAAGACAAAGCAGGTTGTTGATATCCAAACCGACACTAGCTCTATAAGAAAACACAAAGGATTCTCTACAGCAGGTGGGAAGAAGGTGGCTGTCTCTGCTGCTGGGCTGCAAAAGGCAAAGAATCTCTTCAGAGATTGTGAAGAAGAGCGCTTATCATTTGAAGATCTTCAGCACCAAAACTTTAAAGGTTTCAGTGATGTCTCAAAAAAGCCACTGACTAAGATAAGAACGGCATTTGCAGGTTGCCGTGACGTCTCCTTCAGCCATGAGCATGAGACTGGGAATTCTTCAGGAAAAAACATAGGATTCACTACAGCCGGTGGGAAGAAGGTGGCCTTCTCTGCTACTGCCCTGCAAAGGGCAAATAGTCTTTTTAAAGATTGTGAAGAGGAGAGTTTAGCTTCTGGGAGTCTTCAGCACCAAGTCTGTCAAGGTTTCAGCACTGCCAGTGGCAAAGATGTTACCGTCTCCGAAAAGGCACTGAGTGAGGTTAGAGCAGCATTTGCAGGATGTGATGACACCTCCTTTTGTCATGAGCCTGAAAATTCTTCAAGAAACAACATAGGATTCTCTACAGCAGGTGGGAAGAAGGTGGCCGTCTCTGCTACTGCAGTTCAGAGGGCCAAGAGTCTTTTTAAAGATTGTGAAGAGGAAAATTTATCATCTGAGGAAGTCCCACCTCAAGCTAAGAGTTCTCATAAAAGCAGTGAGGACATGGTGGATTTAAACCTAAAGTTTGAACAACTAAACAAGAAAAATTATGGTTTCAGTACTGCGAGTGGGAAAGGTGTGTCCGTATCAAAAGCTACCCTTGAGGAGGCTTCTAAATTATTCAGAGATTGTGACGCCCAAGTTACTGTTACTGATAGCCAGCTGCTACAGAGTGATTCCTCAAAATGCCGTCCTCAACATAAAGATAGACAAACCAAAACCACTCTGCGTCCTTTGCCATCTAAAACAACTCAGAATGAACCTGCACAACTAGACTTGCACTCTTTGAATTTTAACAGTTGCACAGACACCCAGCAGAAGTACTTTGAGCAGGAAGCAATGGCTTGCACTAAAGCTTTACTGGCAGATGATAACCTGAATGAATCAGGCAGTTTGGCGATGACAGAGGACCAAAAATGTCAATCTGTTAATGATCTACAGGCACAGGGATCTTTCGGCCATAAGAGAAGGAAGCGTCCGTTTGATGCCAGAAATGTAGCAGGTATAGGCAACAGAATGTTTCATGTTTTAAGTAAATACATTTTATTATTTAACCTCTCATTGTATATACTACTTTGTTCTGTTTAGATTCAGGTCAGCCTCCTTTGAAAAGACAACTTCTCTTAGAGTTTGACCGGACATTAGATACAAAGACCTCAGGCCTCGCACCACTTAAAAGCTGTCCAAACGGTTAGATGTTTTATTCATAAATAAATAAATTATTTATTTTATTTTATTATGAGGTGCTGTTTAATTTTTTTTATCTTTTACATATACCTGTTGTAGGAACTTTAAGAGACCGGCGTGTCTTCAGTTACAATGTCCACCTCAAGCCAGATGTCACTGGTCCAGATTGGTAGGTTGTTTTACTGTTTTAATAGTTAACTCTCTTTACTATTTAATATGACAAGACATCTTTAATTCTTACAAGTTCTCTTAAAAATGCAGGCATCCTGTGGACCAAAAGTCAGATGACCTCAAGCAATCATGTTCAACTGTATCTGTCCAAAATAGACGTAACTCAGACCCTAAAGAAGGGGTGTTTGTGCCCCCTTTTCAAAAGGATATGAAGACCGAGACATCAAACTGTCAAGATGTCTCTACTGAAGTGTCCACTGGTTTTATCCCACATTTCAAGAAGGAGAACAAAGAAACAACTGAACATGGCAATCAAATAGACCAAAATATGACAACTTCTGTATCACATAGTGACAATGTTGCACAATATTGTGATAGGAAGAACCTACATGAGGGTTCTAACCCTCAACCAACCACTTCAGTGGAAACCATACCATTAAAAATCATGGACTCTGAAGAGAAAGGTAGCCATTTACTTTACTAACTAATAGTAATTTTACTACTAAATTTATTTACTAATTTTGTATTTTAAATATATATTGTCACATAGTATTGGGGTTGTACCGATTTGTATGGCCATGTCCACAAATGATAGAGATAGAAATGAATGATTCTTTAAATACAGCAATGAATCCTAATGTTTTTTTTCTTGGGATGTTAATAGACACAGAGACATGCTGGGAGACCTTGAACCTAGCTAGGGATATGCAAGACATGAGACTCAGAAAGAAGAAAAGGCAGACTATTCGTCCACTATCTGGCAGCCTTTACCTTGCTAAGACTTCTGGTGTCCCTAGAATAGGTCTGAGAGATGCTGTGGGGCGCAAATGTCCTGGTCAATACACACAGGAGGAGGTACATTTTGATAAATGTTTTGATACTTAATTATTCCACTGTGTTTTAAGTCACTGCAAAACCATACTTTGGAGGCGGTATATTACAGTTGCTTAATTTATTTTTTTATATATATATATATATATCTTTTTCCATCTCAGCTGAATCAGCATGGTGTACATCACAAGGTCTCACTAATAACAAGTGAAAATGCTGAATCATTCAGATTTGACTGTAATGACTTCTTCAAATGTGAGCTCCTCATGGAGACTGGTGCTGTCCAACTGGCTGATGGAGGCTGGTTGGTTCCAGACAATAAGGGTACTGTGGGCAAAGACGAATTTTATAGGTAAACATGGTGCATTTTAACAGCATTAATACAAATAGCATGTAGATCTACAAGTTCATCTACATGCTAAAAGGCACTGTTATCTTGCAGAACAACAGTTTTCATGGAATTAGTTTGGGTAATGTACCTTTTTTTTGGCAGAGCACTGTGTGACACACCTGGTGTTGATCCCAAACTGATCAGTGATGCATGGGTATTCAACCATTACCGATGGATTGTATGGAAACGGGCCTCCATGGAAAGAACGTTTCCAGATTTGATGGGTAATCTATGTTTGACTCCAGCGCAAATACTTCTGCAGCTAAAATTCAGGTACTGAATCTCAGTAAAGCTCATACTTTTTCACGCAAAGCTTTTGACAATTACTGAAACACTTTGATATTTGCACTTAGATATGATGTGGAGGTGGACCACAGTCAGCGATCCGCTCTCAGGAGGATCATGGAGAGGGACGACACTCCAGCTAAGACATTAGTGCTTTGTTTATGTGGTGTTGCTCAAACTTGTCAACATCCAGAAAAGCCAGTGAAAGATGACAAATCTCCTAATGCAAAGATGGAGTCCTGTGTGGTCTGGCTCACAGATGGCTGGTATTCCATCAAAGGCCTGTTAGACCCTCCGCTCTCTGCCATGCTGAACAAGGGCCGTCTCAGAATCGGTGATAAGATTGTGACCAGTGGAGCCGAGTTGGTTGGTTCACAAGAAGCCTGTCCTCCACTGGAAGCTCCTGAATCTCTGATGCTAAAGGTGAAGTTGGAATTCAACTAAGATGATCCATGACTGCTAAATCCTGCCAGACTTTATTTGAATTGTCATTTTTGAATTTCAGATTTTAGCCAACAGCACAAGACGAGCTCAGTGGGACACTAAGTTGGGTTACTATCGTGACCCTCGGCCTATCAGCTTTCAACTATCATCACTGTTCACTGCTGGAGGTGTTGTGAGCTGTGTGAACATTGTGGTGTTAAGAAGTTACCCCACTCAGGTCTGCTCCACCTCATCAGCTCTGAATGAGACATTTTGATCTGTAAAAGCACATTTTGTGTTCATAATTTTACTTTTGTACCAAACAAATGACTGACTTTGTCATCAAACAGTGGATGGAGAAGAAGCCCAACGGTGTCTTTATATTTCGCAACGATCGTACAGAAGATCGAGAGGCCAGAAAACACAGCAACTCCAAGCACAAATCCATGGATTTTCTTATTTCCAAAATACAGACCCAGTTTGAAAAAGAAATGGAAGGTAAGTTTTTTTTATTTTTTTTTTATTTATTTTTTTTTTCCCTTTATATTAAACTTTATCAGAGGTTTGTATGCAAGCATATAAGGATCACAAGGATTGATGAGTATTTTCCCTCCACGTATAAGGTAACAAGAAAAGTCGAGACCAAAGGAGGACATTTAGTCGACATGAGGTTGAAGCTCTGCAGGATGGGGAAGAGTTGTATGAGGCAATGGAGCGGGATCCTGCTGTTGAGGTCAGCACTTTAATGCAAACATTTTTGCATATTTTTGCCAATGGGTAGTAAACACAAAGTATTGGTCAATAAATCTGCACTGGGTCAATAGAACCTTTTAATAATATATATGTATATATACTTGTACTTTTCAATAGACCCATCTATATGCGAGTCAGATGGATGCAGTGAGTAAGTACAGATGCTGTTTGGAGGAAAAGAGGCAGGCGGAGCTGCAGGAGCGTGTGCAGAAAGCTGTGATGGAAGCCCAGGAGGCTGAGGGTGGGTGTCCCAATCGAGATGTAACTCCTGTTTGGAAGCTCAGCATTACCGATGGCAAAGATCTGCAGAGCGACTGTGGTGAGCCAAGTGAATATCTTTACTTTGTTTAGGTGTTGAAGGAGCCAGTTTAAACTGTTATGGCTGGGTGCTATTTCATTTCCTAGTTTACACCCTGAATATCTGGCGCCCATCGCAGGACTTGTATGGGTTGCTCAGAGAGGGCCACAGATATAGGGTATATAATCTTGCCACATCAGAGGGGAAGAAACGCTCAGGCATTGCTCACATCCAGTTCACTGCCACCAAGAAAACACTCTTCCAGGATGTTGAGGTAAACTAAATGTTCAATAACTTTGCTCCCACCACAGACTGATCACTTCCATTTTCATTACAAGCATCTAAAATGGTCTTACATAAAATGTGATTGAGCCAGGTGTCTCCAGAATGGGTGCATCAGCATTTTCGTGCTCGAGAATGCGTACGCTTCAAAGAACTTCAAAACCCTCAATTCAGTTCACCTTGTGGGGAGGTGGACATAGTGGGATGTATTGTCTCAATAGAAGGCAAACAAGGTAAATTTCATTAATTCATCATAAAACATCTTTTATCAAGTGCCAAAGCTGTTGTTTCCCCAATGAGTCTGTCACTTAGTTTCCTCAATCCTTAATATCTTCAAACACATTGTGACGGTTTGCATGTCTTTTCAGGCCATTGCCCATTACTGCATCTTGTGGATGAGAACTTTGACCTGGTCTCTGTGAGAACCTACAGTAGTCTGGAGCAGTTAGCTTTAGAAGAGCTGGTAAAGCCGCGAGCACTGGTCGCTCTTAGTAATCTTCAGGCGAGGCCATACTCTGGACCTGTGCCAAGCCTTTATGCAGGAGAACAAGCAGTATTTTCTGTAAACCCCAAAGAATCCCATCTGCAAGAAGCTATGACCCGTCTAAAGACTTTTGTCCAGGTTGATGAATCAGTTTTTAAAATTTTTGTTTTTATGTACGTGTACAATGAAAGAGTGATTCCTCATGTTTTCGTTGTTGCTTATTAGACTTATGTTCGTTGTTTACACAGACTTGTGAGCATTTTTTTAGCATTGTGGAGGAGAAGGTCTCAGATGTGGTTCCTTCAGGTGTCTTGGGTTCATTTCAGTCTCCAAGAACTCCTCGTGTGCAGTCTAATCCAAAAATTAATTGCAGGGTTAGTAGTATGAGTTTTCTTTTTATGTGGTGAAAGATTGGTTTTATTAGTGGTGCTTGTTAAGGCAAGCGTCACTGTAATTATTAACTTCAACTGTTTATTCTATACACACGAAAGCGCCTACATCTTCAGAAAATTGCAAAAAAAATTTGGATTTTGGATAGTTTATTATTATTATTATTATCACTTCTAGTTATTTTTTTGTTAATATTAACAATATATGTGACCCTGGACCACAAAACCAGTCTTAAGTCGCTGGGGCATATTTGTAACAATAGCCAAAAATACATTGTATGGGTCAAAATGATAGATTTTTCTTTTATGCCAAAAATCATTAGGATATTAAGTAAAGATCATGTTCCATGAAGATATTTTGTAAATTTCCTACTGTAAATATATTAAAACTAAATTTTTGATTAGTAATATGCATTGCTAAGAACTTCATTTGGACAACTTTAAAGGCGATTTTCTCAATATTTAGATTTTTTTGCACCCTCAGATTTCAGATTTTCAAATAGTTGTATCTCGCCAAATATTATCCAATCCTAACAAACCATACATCAATGGAAAACTTATTTATTCAGCTTTCAGATGATGTATAAATCTCAATTTTGACAAATTTACCCTTATGACTGGTTTTGTGGTCCAGGGTCACATTAGTTGTTAACATTTATTAAATTATATGCAAATATACACTGCTGTTCAAAAGTTAATGTTGTTACAAAAGATTTCTATTTCAGATAAATGCTGTTCATTTGAAATTTCTATTTATCAAAGAATTTTTATTTCACTTTTATTAATGTTCTTTAGATGCAATATCAACATATTATGCCCTTTGTTGAAATTCCCAGGTAACCCCACAGCAGAAGAGCAGCATTTTCTCACCTTTCACGCCACTGAATAGGAGAACTCCTGCATCTGCATGTAACAGCGAGGGAAAAGACCCCAAAAGTTTGAAAAGAAGGCGCGGTTTGGACTACCTGTCACATATCCCATCCCCTCCACCCCTCACTCCTCTGAAAAATACAGCTTCTCCCTGCATTAACGGGACTTTCAATCCACCAAGGAGATCTGTGACTCCCAAACCTCCACAGAATGAGTCACCTCGAGCCTCATGTCCCCCACCAGGCGAGGAGAAGTGGGTGCATGATGAAGAGCTGGCGATGATAGACACCCAGGCGTTACTGGAAGGCTGATGGGAAAAGTGTGATTCTCCTGTTGAAACACTAAATGTGAGTTGAAACATAAGATTAACAGCATTCAAGGCATTGAAAGCTCTATTTCTACTGTTGGCAGGAAATGCAAATAGCACTTCTATGTCTTTGCTTTCTAGTTGCCTGGTTTACTGTGGTTCTCTGATGGTAAATGACATGAAAAAGATGCACCTTTTTACAATTACTGTAATCATTTTTAAATTCTTGTTTTACGTGACTGTACTACTATAGTACAGAAGTTAGCAATGCTCAGGGGGAAAAAGTGTAAAGTATATGTAAAAATGTTTATATTTTCATTTTTATTAAAAGATGGAAAATTTTGTACAGAGGTGACATTAGCAGCATTTGCTAAGACAAGCATCACTTACTGATATTGCTATACTGGAAAAATATGAAACTTTTGCACTAACATGCACTGTTTGTGCAGCTTAGTAAGAAGAGGTATGTTATTTTTATGTTTGTATGCTTTTCTAAGGATTCCGATTTACATTTTTGTGATGAATGACTAAAAAACAGACTTGCAAACATGGAAGGACTTGGGCCACAAATAATAATGACTTGATAGTGCACTATTAGTAAGTAACCACCTAGAATGCCCTAGCATCATTGTACAATTAATTTTGCACTGGCGCTCACTTGATATTTTTCAAGGACTGTAAAAATCTAAAACTAAAATTGATATCACAATCTGTTGTTTCGATATATTTCTATTAATGAACAGCAGGTGGCGCCTTAACACTTGCCTTTGACTTGCAGCGAACGGTTCAACTCAGTAGGAAGATTGTGAAATCCTATCTGCCATTTTCATATTAAATCTGAAGTAATGAGAATGGAACAATAAATATGAATATATTGCTTAATAACCACCAGATATTGGCAGCATAGAAAGCAATGGGTATGACAAACAAGTATGACATACTTCTCTTGATCTGGGGTGCGTTTCCCAAAACCACCGTTAGCTAACTATGGTCGTTAGTTCCATTGAATTCTGTTAGCAACGACAGAACTTGACCATAGTTGCTTTTGGGAAACGCACCCCTGGCTGGCAAACTCACTGTCATGCTTAGACCGCAAAGACAGACAAAGGGATTTCTTCTCTTCCATACAGAACATTGTCATATTTAATAATGTGTGAAAATATTACAATTCTGGCTGTTTGCTCTTCAGATCAGTTTTAAGGATTTTTGAAATTTAGAAGCAACCCCATAATCTGTTTGTTCATCGAGGAATGCTTCAGAAAACCACAGACATGCCAGATTTGCAGTTAGGTGCCATCAGTGGCTTTCCTCCACAGTGTTCAGTTTTACATCTATCATTGAGAATGTGCTGACTCCGCACACAGCCAGCTCTATTTTAAGATCCCTGGCCCACAATGATAAAGATAGTTGACACTACTGTTGTGTAGTGAAGAGGCACTGAAGATGATATCTGTTAGTGGTTGACAGATTAGTGTTATTGTGGCCAAAAAATTTTTTTTTAAAGTACTGAACAGTCCTGATATTCTCTACTGTTCAAATGTTTGGGGTTGCAAAGATTTTTTTAAATATATGTTTTTGAAAAGTCTCTGATAAGGCTGCATTTATTTGATCAAAAATATAGTAAACCGTAACATTGCAAAATATTACAGTTGAAAATATAATTCTTTTTATATTTGAAAAGATTTTAACTTTTTTTTAATTTAATATATTCCTGTTATGGCAACGCTGAATTTTTGGCAGCCATTACTAAATTTTTCAGTCGCAGTTGTGCTGCTTAATATTTTTGTTAATCTCATTTTTTTTAAATAGAATTTCTTTTTTTTTGTAACATGTCTTTACTGTCATTTTTGATCAAATTAATGCATCCTTGCTAAACAAAGGCATAAACAATCGGGGGGGGGGGATTTTGGAGGCTGG